AGGTATCGGCAATGGATAGGGACGAGGGTGCAAACGGTAGAGTGAGATACAGCATCGCTATGGGCGACGACAACAGAGACTTCACGATCTCCGAAGACGGCGGAGTGATCAGAGTAGCGAAGAATTTAAATTTCGAACGAAAATCCAAGTATCATTTGACAATTCGAGGGGAGGACTGTGCCTCGGAAGTAGGGGAGACACCGAGAGGTGATACCGCACAGGTCACCATCACTGTCCTCGATATAAACGACAACGCACCTGTCTTCCTGGATTCACCCTATTTAGCGCACGTTATGGAGAACATGGTACCACCGGGAGGAGGATTCGTGATACAGGTAATTACGAGAATTCCACTTTAACCCTCTACTCTCGAATAATCTATAACATCTTTCTCGCTTTCTTCCATTCTAATTAGAACTGGACATTAATTATATTAAAATGAAATTAACCTCTTCAGGGACAAACTTAAATCTGCTGCTAATTTTTTATAGATTTCAAGTTTATCTCAATTCTACATTTATCAATTGATTCGAACGATAAAAAATTCTCAAAGTCGCTGACTTTTTTCTGGAAATTTTTCTGTAAATTTCAATGCTCGGTGATTCCAAACTTTTGGCCGGTAGCGTATGTGTACCTTGATTTTCCTTGATGAAAATATGAAAAACACAATCTCCCGAAATCTCCTGAGGAAAGTAGTTCAATTGCTATCGATTTAACACGAATATAAATGTGCAACTGCATAAAAAATTAGGTCGATATTTTCTAACTTTAAAAATATCGTCCCTGAAGAGGTTAACACAACCAACCGCTCTATCCTATAACGTTCATTAGGAAAATGTGTAATAAAGGTGAATCGGTAAGAAATGTTCTGCATTTATGTATAAACTAACTGGAAGTCCAGGAGTTCCGTAGACTCCGTATCCAGCTTCACTTTACTTCAGAGGGTTAACTTCGCTCTCTCACGGTGAAAAGTAACAGTTTCGATACGTTACAACTGGGAAACTGTGTAAATGTCCAGGTGAAAGCTTACGACGCAGACACACCACCGTACAACGACCAAGTGAGGTACTTTCAAAAAGAGGGTGACACGGATCTGTTTCGAATAAACGCTAGCACTGGTGACATTTTTCTGCTTCGGCCTTTGGATAGAGAATTGGTACCGGAGTACACTCTCACAGTGGACGCAATGGATACCGGTGAGTTGTTCAAACCCTTCGTTTCTTCTCCCGACTACGCACCTAAGCGTTTTAGTACTGCATTAACTAGGGCTATTACTTTTAACCGGGTATCTGAGATACCTGGGTAGATGAAAATAACCCGATCGACCCGGGTATCTCACTCGAATATGTACACTAGACAGTCGAAATCTCGGTGGCCGCTACCGCCTGGCGTTGGCGGCAACTACTATTGCAAGAAATGAAAGCAAACAATTGTAGGGCGTCTAGGAAAATGACTTCGTTGTATTCTTATTTGTTGCAAAAACATCAATTATATTGTAGACATGCAAGTAATACAAGTAGAGTGCTCACTACCGCCTGGCGTTGGCGGCAACTACTATTGCAAGAAATGAAAGCAAACAATTGTAGGGCGTCCAGGAAAATGACTTCGTTGCATTCTTATTTGTTGCATTCTTATTTGTTCTTATTTGATGTTGAAAAACATCAATTATATTGTAGACATGCAAGTAATACGAGAGTGCTCGAGTAAAACATACCGAGTATCTAAGTAGCCAAACAGTCGAGGAATAATAGATATCTACTCTCAGGGTACTTTCTGATTACCCGAGTATTTCACGAGTAACCCGGGTATCTCTTAAGTAACAGCTGCAGTCCTATGTCGACGTAAGAATTTTTTCCTTCAGATATCGTACAATGATCAATTCCTAACCTCACCAATATTACCCTGAAATACTGAAATAAAGGGAAACTTCTTGGTATTGCCCGAGAGTGCCCAAACGAGTGCGCGCTAACTGGACTATTCGGACCGCAAAGGGTTGAGTAAGAAGAGCTAACGTACTACATAGATCGATCAAAATTCGCCAATCTTCAGTTTCACGAATTAAACGAAAGATTCATTGGTACGGCTCTGACGACTCGTTGGTACACGACAAGGGGTTAAGGTTTCTTTAAGAAAATACTGCTCGTCGTGGAGTATATGGTAATTTATAATCGGTCGGAATTAAAATGTAAAAAGTGAAACGAAAGCGTAGGACGCCTGTTGCACACGGGGAATAAATAGGCGAGTAAGGGAATAAAGGATAAAGAAATGGCGGGTAGAAGGTATTCCCAGTAGATTCTTTCGAGCGTATACCTTAGGGGAACAGCTAAATAGGTATATACCTGGTAGGATCGGCACAAAGAGAGGCATTGAAAGGGTAGTCAGTATTCTTCGGAGAGAATATTTTTCCGGCCGATCTTAGTAACCGGTCTTAGCTTCTATGTAAACTGGCTGCGAATTAGCACGGACAAAGGACTTAATTATATTGGGTTTGGCACTTGTGAAAAAAGCCACCGGGCGAATTGAACAACGCCACGACCCGACGAAATGTACAAAAACAGAGCGAAACAACGAGTGAAAAAGAAGCGAATGGTATTTTAACGCTGCGATGGCGAGATCTGTGCTTTAGAAAGATTCCTAAGTGGATGTATACAGGTATTACGTGCGTATATCAGACACAAGATAGGGTATAAATTAATCGAACCAGTTTGACAAATCTACGACAAGCTATTACAAATCGTACCTATCCCATTCCGTCGACGTAACGATCGAAATGTCACCAAATGTCACATAGTGAGCCGTAGAGAGGAACGCGTGCCAATTCATACGATGACTATTGCATGAATTATTTTTCCCCGGCCCATAAATTCTACCAATCTGTTCGCTCGGTTCGTGCCTGTATCCATGGAAGAATTCAGTTCCTGCAAACGAGGATACGTGTGTACACTGCCGATCAAAAGTTTCTCATCACAGTGTGTTACGAGTTGCAGAAAAGTTTTCAGAAGAAAGGCGGCAATTTTAAGAATTTTTTCATCTCCTGGCAAGTAATTCCAAACTTTTCGTAACGTAACTAAAATTCTTCTCAACGAGATCTGCTAAAAATGATCAATGTTATCTCTTAGGCGTACAGCAATAAATTTCCCAACGCTGTAACATACATTTTCACGGTAAAATAGAAGAGACAGCGCAGGACGAACGAGTGAAAGAAACTAAATAAACAAAATTGGTTAAAGGGTTAAACGTTTCGTCTCGTTCACCTCTGAAAAATTCGCAAATTCCTCCGCTTTCCATGGAGGTAACGATATAAACACCCGAGGAGACAAGAGAACAATCAGAATATTTCAACCCTCGTGACAGGACGATCGCCTAAATGTCTCGAGCACGAAAGACACGCGCGAGAAAATGTCACCTCTCCCCCTCCGAATAGACGAAACAATAGGACGGTGTATATATGGGATGGGTTTAAGTAATGAGCGGTAATATACAAATTGGATATAAATTTGTGGGTTGTTCGATGAGATTCTTTAAGCGGTGGGCAGTTCCTCGTCGAAATCTTTTTTATCGTTCGTTCCTCTGACGAAGCCAGTAGTCCCATTCGAGGGTGCCCCTCGCCCGCCCCCTTTAGCCCGGCCATCGGGGCCCCCGATGGCCCAATCGGTCCCCGCCGAGGTAGACAAGCCCGCAGAGTTATGACGCGCGATTATGATAATCGCTCTCAAATGCCTTCCTCTGCCTCCACGCTCTGCACTCTCTTTCTCCCCACCCTCCTCCCTTTTCCACTCCCTCCTTCACTTTCTTTCTCTACATACCTCTCTATCTATATATTTCTGATTGGTTTCTCTGTACCCTTCACCTCCCTGCTTCTTCACCCGATCCTCCCCCACCTCTGCTTCCTCTTCTTCACGATGCTCCTCTTCACCCCACCAGCTTTCGCTTGCTGGACCTTTTGGACCCTCTCTTTGGAGGCAAGCGCGCATCTCTCTGGAAAGGGAGAGAGAGAAAGAGAGAGAGATCCTGCTCGAGCTCGAGCATTATACTCCTATTTTATTCATACGTTATGGCTGTCGCGTGTATGCGCCACCTATAGCGCGTACGCCGGACGTGGCCCGGCCGAAACGTGTGTCCCTATACCCGTGGCTGTAAGGATCCACCTGAACAGAAGATACCTTTATAACGCTCGAAAGTGGGAAAAGGGTTGACGCTCGTCAATTTCTATCGATGCATCGTAGCTGGTACCCTTTGTGGACAATCCTATTTCTGAAGAATTTTCTGAAAAATTCTGTGGAAGCTGAGAAATTTTAGGTACCCTTTGTGGAGAATTACCTTTCTAGAGAATTTCGTGAAAAATATATCGATTCTGGTACCATTTGTGAAGAATCCTCTTTCTGAAAAATTTCGCGAAAAATCCTGCGAAGCTGACAAATTTTCGGTACCATTTGTGAAGAATTCTCTTTCTGAAGAATTTCGCGAAAAATCCTGCGAAAGTATAGAAACTCCCTTTACGAAAATTCGTTGAGACGTTCCAGGTGAAAAGGTAGGAATGTCCAAAATTTGTGCGACACACACGCGTAACATCGATAAGAAACGGTAGAAGGACGGTGAAAAAAGAAGGAATATACATAATCAGCCGGCGAAACTATTCTAACAATGAAACGTATCCAAAAAGGAGGATTGCGAGAGGTGGTAAAAGAGAAAAAAACCTGGTTGCTTCTTCTTGTCCTCATCAATTAAGGGGACGAATAAGGAGAATACGCGCTACCTAGTGTAAGCCAGTATATTTCTGCCGGATTGCCCACCAGGGAACACCGCCTATGGTGGACCACACCATTGTGCACTCGCGATTGTTGTGCCCGGTACCCCTGCCCGTGAGAGGTCCGTGTGATTGAACGATATACGCTTATAAGAGGCGCGTGGCCCAGGGCCACGCCAACGCGTACAATGTACCTGCTGCAATCAGAGAAATCGGGTCCCCCCAGAGAATAATGGCCTGTTTTAGGCGGCGCAATTAACTCCACGGTACCCCGCCCGCCTGATACTTTGTGAAATCGTAATTTGTCTTCTTTAACGTTCACTGATCCAATCTTTCCATCGATTCCTACCTATCGTTCCCGTTTCAAAATCTTCCCCTCGAATACACCTACGAACGCTGTGCAATTGTATCCTTTCTTCTCTCTCGTGACAATGTCTCTTTTTCCTTCCTCCTTTCGAATCTTCTCTGGAACTTGAACGAAGTGAGCCTAAAAGAAATTTACAGAATTCTTTCCTTTTCTCTCGTGAAATTTCTTTTCAACAAGATCTCGCGACTATAGATCATCTTATTTTAGAAAAATTGGGTCTTCTGTGGAATTTGACGAAGTGAGCCTAAAAGAAATTTGCAATGTTCCTTTTTTTTCTCTGGTGACATTTCTTTTTAACGAGATTTCGCGACAATAAATCATTTTACTTCAGAAAAGTCGTTTTTCGAATCTTCTTCGAAACTTGAACGAAGTGCACCGAAAAAAAAAAGGGGAAACGCGGTTTTATCACGTTTAAGGCCACATTGTTTATACACCTGAACCGGCGGAATACGGTCGCGTAATCATAGAACGATCAATCTACGATTACCGAACCTGTTCTACAGGTTCTCCGCCGTTGACTGGATCGGGCATCGTTAGAATCGTCGTTCTGGATGTCAACGATCACATTCCGGAATTCACCAGGCAAGAGTACAAGGCGACTGTTACCGAAAATTCTGCTTCCGGTACCTGGGTTACCAAACCGTACGCAACCGACAAAGACGAAGATCTTAACGCTTTGATTAGGTAAGTCTAATTACCGTCTATCCTTCATCTTCGTTAAATTTCATCGAAATTTAAAATGTACGTGCTAAATACTCCACACAGGTACAGTTTACTCGGTGAATATTCGGAACGTTTCACCGCTGATCCAGAAACTGGCGAGGTTTTCACCGTGGTACCCCTAGATCGCGAACAAACAGCTGTCTATCATCTAACACTGGTCGCTCAAGACTCGAGTCCCACGGAACCACAGGCTTCTGCTGTTAATTTAACAATTTTCGTGAAGGACGTGAACGACAATGCGCCGAGATTTTCTAGTCCAAGATACACGGCTTACGTGCCAGGTGCAACTAAACCAGGTAAAGAGATTGAAAGAAGAACGACTCGATTCTAGAATTCTCGGAGCTCAACCCTTTCAGCACTGTGTGCTTGCTGATTGTTATACCTTTTGCAGTCGCGATTTACCAGAATTTAGAAGTGGAAAATGCAACTTTATTTTTTATTTAACAAATCAACCAAGAAATGAAAATTAATAAATTCGTAAACGTTCAAATTTTATCTTTTCCAAAAAGAACTTTAAATTTCTGTGCAAAGTCAATTAAAAAAAATACTTGGAGTGTGAAGGGTCAATTTTACAGCGAAAATACCTACTTGCTCTATTTTCAGGTATAAACCTAATTTCAATTCCCCTAAAACTTCCCTCGGTTATTTTCATTCGACAAATTAACAAAGAAATAAGAATGATTAAATTCGTAAACGTTCAAATTTTATCTTTTCCAAAAAGAACTTTAAATTTCTGTGCAAAGTCAATTAAAAAAAATACTTGGAGTGTGAAGGGTCGATTTTACAGCTAAAATACCCATTCGCTCGATTTTCAGGCATGAACCTAATCTGAATTCTCTTAGAACTTCCTTTAATTAACACCAAGAGAAAATAAAAAAGAGAACGTAGTGAAAGATACTCGAACCGCGGCGAATCTGTTAACTGTATCAATCTCACAATACCTCCGAACCATTCCTTATCAAATACATCGACGGGTGGAGCGTGTTCAAAGGGTTAACACGCGTCCATACGCGTTAAGTAACACCTGAATAACAGAGGAGCACGAGCCTAACGTGGCTCGCAATACGCAACACTCTCGCAAGTCACCATACGTCGCTGTAACGCCGTGTTTTCCTTTAAAGGGGATTTCGTGTTCGGCGCGAAAGCAGTGGACGACGACGACGGCGAGAATTCCCGGATCGTGTATCGTCTCCAGGGAATCGACGCGGAGAAGTTCGCGATCGATTCTAACAGCGGTGTGATAAGAGCCACCCAGGAGTTGGCCAATGATGAAACCACCTACCAATTGCAAATCCAAGCGTCAGATTGCGGCGTGAAACCGCAATCGGTCACAGCCGACCTAGTCATACATCTCTGGGAGAGGCAACTGTTCCCTAGTTTTCGTTCGACGATCACCACCAGGTTCACGTTACCCGAGGACGTGTCCGAGGGACGCGTGATCACGAAATTGAGCGCGACCACGCCGAAAATTGGAGCCGCGAGTAATCTCGTTTACGCAATGGCAGGTGGAAACGTCGGTGACGCGCTCAAGATCGACCAGCACACCGGAGAGGTACGTATCGGAGAGTAGTTTAGGGTTGTTAGGAGACTTGGTAATGCGCTTTGTTAATAATAATGATATGGTTGCATTTAAAACACTCAAAGTTGGGTTCACTGTGAAAGTAAGCTATGTTTCGAAATTTTTGATTACACTAATTTCAACCTGAATTCTACTCTTCGTGGAAGATAGGATGATACGAGTATTTCTAGATCGCTTGATAACATTGTGTGGTAAAATTTTGGAAGCTGATCTGAAGGGTGGAAATAATGATTTTTCGAAATTTTTGATTACACTAATTTCAACCTGAATTCTACTCTTCGTGGGAGAGAGGATCATGTGTTTAAATCTTGATCTCTGGATAACGTTGCGTGATAAAATTTCAAAGGCTGATCTAAGTTTGAGAGTAAAAAAGTTCGAACTTTTTAAGAATGCACTGTGAAAATATACAGAATATTCACAGAAGCACTGAGTATTTCAATCCTAAAGATATAGTTACACTAATTCGAACCTGAATTCTGCTCTCTGTAGAAGATAGGACGACGTATTTAATTCTAGATCGCTCGATAAAATTTCAAAGGCTGATCTAAGTTTGAGAGTAAAAAAGTTCGAATTTTTTAAGAATGCACCGCAAAAGTATCCTACAAAATATTCATAGAAGCGCTAAATATTTCAATCCTAATTCTGAATAAGCTCTCCCTAACAGACCCCGAGTAGATCTCTAATTGGTAATAAGAGAAGGTAATATCGATCGTTCTCAACGATTACTCTGGATCGTTTGACGTAGGTGTTGGTGGCGTCAGGGTTCGATTACGAAACAGCGCCGTTCTACGAAGCCTGGGTCGAGGTTCGTGATTCGGACACTCCAGCATTGAGAAGTGTTGTGCAACTACTCGTGAACGTAACAGACGCGAATGATAATGCACCGATAATGGAGGCGTCCATCTACAACGCCACAGTTCCCGAAGACGAATACCCGCCCCTCTTCGTTTGCAAAGTTTCAGCCAAGGATCGTGACTCCGGTGAGAACGGTCAGGTGTCCTATTACCTGGTCAACGATTTCACCGAGACTTTCATCATCGATTCTGACACCGGTGAAATTAGCACCAACGCGAAATTGGACCGTGAGGAGGTACGTCTTTCTTAGAAAATGTATATATTTTAGACGTAGAAATTAATTCGGTGCCTTTTTTCACAAATCCTTCGCGACATTGTCGAGTCGAAATCGCCGTAATTTTTCCGAGACGAAATTCGTCGTATCTAGATACCTACGTACCTAGGCCTGGCGACTCTTGGCCCTCGAGGACAAGAGTATCGCCTTGGCAATGTAGGGACTTTCCCAGGGAAAAAAGGGCTACTTAAGGCACGGGGCCTTTTCGTCGTAGACGTCCTTTCTACATGCATCGTGTCGCTTATACATTAAAAATAGTTTAAGCGCTATCTGATTTAAATAAATATACATTTCTGTTAAGCAACCTTCGTGTAATAATTACTTTTACACCACGTCACTTCCAAAGTCAGTTACTCGATAAAGAGAAAAAGGTTATCCAAAATAACGAACATCATTTTTAACGTTAAAATTATGTTCGATCTTCTGTAAATTTGTACAGCTGATAGATACATTTTTTTAAATAATTTCGCAGATTGCATCCTACGAGCTAACAGTGGAGGCCAGAGACCAAGGACAGCCCTCGTTAACAGGCACAACCACTGTACTACTCACTGTTTTGGATAAGAACGATAATCCTCCACAATTCACTCGATTATTCGGCGTAAACGTGACGGAGAACGCGGAAATTGGGACGTTCGTTATTAGGATAACCAGCAGCGATCTGGATATTGGCCAGAATGCGAATGTTACGTACAGGTTCACCGACAATCCTGGTAGAAAGTTTACTCTGGACGCTTTGAGCGGTAACGTGACGGTGAATGGACATTTGGACAGAGAGGAACAGGATGAATATCTATTGAAGGTTCGTATTCGTTTCGTATCACTGACGATGGTTAAGGAGCACTCGTCACGCTTTGAGAGCTGCTGAAAACAGTACCAAAGCCAGCAAATTGGCTCGTAGCAATTTATTGTTCCGATTGATTCTCAAACGACCCGTTTCAAACTAACATTATTATCGAAGCACTCGAATATAAGCCGTTTCGTGAGCATTGCAGCTCACTTCGTCAGGTTTCGTGGAACACACTGATAACACTGTCCAACAAATTTTGACCTTCAGAAAAATCTGCAATATCCATTGGGTGATCCTTGTAGAGTTTCTCGTCCCAAACACGAATCCGGAAGCAGAATTGCTCTATCACCCTCAGTTTTTGAAAAATATGGATTTTTGTAAAAACACACGATTTTGGACAAAAACGAGGTATTGCGTGAAAACTCAAAACGCTAAGAAGTTCCATTTAGTCTTAAAAGATAGAGGAGAGTGTCCTGAATATACCGAGGGTGACAGAGCAATTCTGCTTCCGGATTCGTAGTGGGACGAGAAACTCTACAAGGACCACCCAATGGATATTTGTTGGACAGTGTAATTTATCCTAATCACCTAATCGCGAACATAATCACGAGCCCTAACCAAGTGATCTGCAAACGCCTACAAATCGTCGAAATACTTCTTCCACAATAACACAGCTTTCAATCCTCACAATCACACTCCAACTGGTGAAATCCTCAAATATTCGATTCAAAGAACCAAAACGACAATCTATCCCACAGCTAGTAGCAGCAGACGGAGCCTGGCAGTCAGCCACAGCCCTGACGATATCAATCCAGGACCAAAACGACAATCCCCCGAAATTCGACGAGGAATCCTATCACTTCCACTTCCCGGAGCTCCAGCCACCTGTTGCACACGTGGGCCAAGTGACAGCTATCGATCGCGACAAGCAAGGACCAAACTCGATGATATCGTACAGCCTGTTGCAACCCTCGGACCTTTTCACCGTCGACCCAGCCACCGGCGACGTCTTCAGCAAGAAAACCCTCAAATACAAACACACTCATCGTCCGTCGTCGCCTGAGAACCTGTACTCTTTAACAGTAGTGGCTACCGACAACGGAAAACCTCCTCTGTCGTCCAAAACGGTGATCTACGTGAGCGTGGTGGACGCGAACAACAATGCACCGAGATTCGAGCAGAGATCCTACCTCTATCCTGTACCTGAGAACTACGGAGTCGGCAAACGAGTGATACAACTGGTCGCGAAAGACGACGCGGACTTCGGTGTGAACGCGGAGATCAGCTACTTCCTGGTGAACGTCAACGGAAGCGAGTACTTCTCCATCGACGAGAAATCTGGATGGGTGTACGTTAGGAAAAGCTTGAACAACGTCGCGGTTGGAACAACGTTCCTATCGAAGGCACAGGCGATAGACAAAGGAGTACCGCCGCAGAAGGACGAAGTTTCCTTGACTTTGATCATCTCGGGAGAGAACAAGCATGCTCCTACGTTCGTCGCGGATTGTTACCAGGTTAGAGTGCCGGAGAACGAGCCTGTCAACACTACTATAGTGACTGTCAGTGCTACGGACGGAGACGACGGGCCTAACGGAATGATTAGGTACAAGATATCAGCTGGAAACGAGAGGAACGAATTCTTCGTGCACTCTATCACCGGGGCTGTGACCATTCTCGAACCTCTGGACTACGATTTGGTGCAAGTTTATAGATTGAACATCACTGCTACCGATCTGGGGTTCGAGTTAAAGCAGGCCGTGGCTACTTTGACTGTGAACGTGTCTGATATCAACGATAATCCTCCGACGTTTAATCAGAGCGTGTACGAAGCCTTTTTGCCGGAGAACTCGCCACCGTTCAGCTTCGTGTATCAGGTGAAATGTTTGGGCCAAATATTTGCAATTTCTTTGCATTTTTAATTTGATTTTGTAGGAACCTAGGGAAAAATATTGAGGGACCCAACGGGAATCGAACCCGGGACCATCGGTTTAGCAAGCCGAGGCTTTGCACGCTACTCCCTCTCTATTCTCCCGTGTCGGCTTCCTATTTTTGGGTATGGAGGTCCCGATACTACACTCGGCCATCCTGAACTGACATTCGCCCTCGAATGTCACTTCTCAACATTTTCGAGTACACTCTCCCACCACTCAGTGGCACGCTACGCCAACCACTCCCTCTCTATTCTCCCTTCGAGGTTTCCTATTTTTGGGTGTGGAGGCCCCGATACTACAATTTTTTAATTTAATTTCTTTTAATTTTATATTTTTAATATTTTTCAAAATATTTTTCAACTTCTCCTCACGTTCATCCCAACTTACAACAATTTCTCTACCCACAGGTTATCGCCCGAGACATCGACTCACCGAAATACGCCGTTGTCCAATACAAAATCCTCGGAGGAACAGGCAAAGACCACTTCCGAATTCGCGAAGACACCGGCGAGATCACATCTCTGATAAGTTTCGACTACGAAGAAGCGAACGAGTACACTCTCGACATAGTCGCAGCTAACCCAGACTCGAATCCTCAAATGGTCGGCTTCACGACAGTCCTCGTGCACGTCACAGGCGTCAACGAGTACTATCCGAAATTCATTCAGCCCGTGTTCCACATGGACGTCTCAGAAAGTGCAGAAGTTGGAACCTCTGTCGGTCTGGTTCAAGCAACAGACCAAGATGCAGGCGAAGACGGAAGAGTGTACTACCTCTTCGTCGGTTCCTCCAACGATCGAGGCTTCTCCATCGGCTCCGAAACGGGGATCATTCGAGTCTCGCGAAGATTGGACAGAGAAACTCAGAACAGAGTGGTGTTAACCGTGATGACGAAGAACGGCGGAGGAATTCGTGGCAACGACACGGACGAAGCTCAGGTTATAGTCTCTATTCAAGATGGAAACGATCCACCGGAGTTCCTGCAAAGCACCTACGATGCCACTGTGTCCGAAGGTGCTGTGCACGGGACGAGATTGCTGACTGTTAGAGCAGTAGACAAGGACATCAAACCGCAGAATAATCAGTTCTCTTACTCGATTATCAGTGGAAACATTGGGCAAGCTTTCAAAGTAGACCCGCAGACCGGTGATATAGAGACTGCTAAGCAGCTGGACAGAGAAACTATTCCAGCTTACGATTTGACTATTGGAGCTATCGATACTGGCTCACCGCCTCAAACTGGAACTGCAGCTGTTCACATAGAATTGCTGGACATCAACGATAACGGACCAATTTTCGATCCACCTGAAGTGATCGGTTACGTGAACGAGAACGAACCTGCTGGAACGATTATTATGACACTCAGTGCTACCGATCCTGATCTGCCACCTAATGGAGCACCGTTTACCTATAGATTGGTCGGAGGGAGGCAGGGTGATATGGTGACTTTGGATAAGCATACCGGGATGTTGAAGACTACGAGGAGTCTGGATAGGGAAATTATGCCTCAGTTGGATCTTGTGGTTAGTGAAGGAGTTTCTTTAGGATTGAGAAAGTTTTTAGGGTTGTTTGGGATGGCTGAGTTGTTTGGCTTTGACTTTTTTTGTAGATCGAAGTGGAGGATTCTGGAATACCGAGAATGAGGAACGAGCACACGATTACTGTGATCGTTACGGATCAAAATGACAGTCCATCGTCACCTAGATCTGTTCACGTTATAGTTCATTCGTTCAACGAACAGATTCCATTGGGAAAGATCGCTGATGTGCATCCTAACGATCCAGATATTACTGGAAGCTATTCCTGTAAGATTCTTCAAGGATCGAATCCTAAGATTCTTAGTATTCCTGCCGCTTGTGATCTTCATACGAAAAGAATAACTCCAGGTTTGTCGAATGAATTGTGGAAGCTTTGTGTTTGCGATTTTTGATTAAACTGATGTTTAATTTTGATTTTTGTTTTGTTTTTTGGTACAGGCGTTGGTTATTCTTTGAGTGTCTCTGGCAACGATGGTCGTCATCCTAACGTGGTGTCTAAAGTGACAGTGGAATTTCTTCTTTTTACTAACAGCACGATTGAAAATAGCGTGACACTGCAAGTGGCGAAATTGAGCGCGAGGGATTTTTTAAGTCAGTACTATCGTGCATTGTTGGACGTGCTGCAAGAGGAAATCGATGTTGGGGATAATCTTAAGATTTTTAGCCTTGGAGAGAATGGGAACGATTTGAATATTCATCTAGCAGTGGAATCGCCTCAAGGTAATATCCTCCGCTTGGAAAATTGAAAAATTGAAAGATTGAAAAGTGGAAAGATTGAAAGATTTAAAAATTGATAAATTTTAAGATTTAAAGATTGAAAGATTTAAAGATTGAAAAATTTTAATATTGGAAGATTTAAAGATTGAAAAATTGAAAGATTGAAAGATTGAGAAATTTAAATATTGGAAAATTCAACGATTCGAAAAATTCTAAAATCCCAATTAAAAAATTCTCATCGATTCCACAGGGTACCGCACTAAATACGAAGTCACCGAGCTACTAAACCACAATCGAGACAAAATTCGATCTCTTCTCGAGGGAACAACCTTCACAATCAGCTATTCACCGTGCAAACACATACCCTGCGAGAATGGAGGCTCTTGCAGCGACAAACTAGTCATCTACGATGACGCCAGGATCACCGATAGTCAAGCGCTGATCCTCACGTCACCGAGAATGATGCACGAAATGACTTGCAGGTGTCGCGATGGTTTCACCGGTGATAGATGCGAGAGGAGGCAAGATCCTTGCTCTCCAAATCCTTGCTTACTGGTACACAACATTATCAACCACACAAAACTCCTCCGATTAAATTGTCTTTATCAAAAGTATCAACAATTTCTAACTTTCAATCATCAGGGAGGACAGTGTCGACGATTGGGATACGATTTCCAGTGTACCTGTCCGATCGATCGCGAAGGGAAATTGTGCGAATTGGAAAGAGGCGATGCTTGTGCCAGTAATCCATGCAGAAACGGTGGATCCTGCAGAAAGAGTCCTGACAGCTTCAGTTTCTTCTGTCTGTGTCGTGCTGGCTACAGAGGAAACCACTGTGAGGCAGTCACAGACTCCTGCAGACCTAACCCTTGCCTCTACGGAGGTTTATGCGTAGGAGAGAAACCTGGGTAAGCTTGATAACGTAGGGAGAGACAGGATTTTCTCGAAAATGCTTAGTTTAGACTCTAGAGGTGTGAAAGAAAAGTGTTTGGATGGAGTACGTAAGATTATCGCGTGAAAGAAGGCTGCACAGCCTGTAGTTTTGAATGGAAATGACTGAATATCACAGAGAAAGAAATAGAGATAGAAAGGGAGAGAATGTGGGATAATTAATAGTTCTGATAAGAGTCAGAGTGAGATTCGACGGTCCAGAGTGTATAGTAATTGAAAAACCACCGACTGTTAGAGTTTGAGAGAGAATGCGTCCAAAGTGAGGCCATTGATAAAAAAAAAGGGCACACAGACTTGTCTATGGTCTTCTCCTTTTTTCTCTCTTCTCTCTTAGATTTAATTGCATTACTTTTTATGAAAGCTCTGAAATCGATGTAGAGCTGATTTTCCAAGTAGAACCTCTTCACCATCATACGCCACAGCTAACAATAAAAAATCAACGTCCAACAATTTAACACGAATTTCCTAAACGTTCAGCTACAGATGCAGCTGTCCAGAGGGTCGCTACGGAAGACACTGTGAAAGATCTACATTCGGATTCGAGGAGCTGTCCTACATGGCCTTCCCAGCCCTAGACTCAAACACAAACGACATAACAATCGTATTTGCAACTACCAAACCAGATGCACTGCTACTGTACAACTATGCACCTCAAAGTGGAGGACGTTCAGATTTCGTGGTGCTGGAACTGGTGAACGGAAGAGTGGTGTTCTCTTACGGAGGTGCGAGAAGTGCCATTACCTCGATTACCATTAAAACGGAGAATTCTGTGTCCGACGGAGAATGGAGGAAAGTGACGGCGACCAGAAACGGAAGGGTCGTGTCTCTGAGCGTGTCTATGTGCAGGGAACATGGAGATATCTGCGACGATTGCAGACCTGGCGATGGAACTTGCTACGCTGACGACGTAGGACCTACCGGGTTAGTATTTCGCATTTCTTCGACAAATTTTCAACCTGAAGAATCCCTAATTTCCAAACTAACACCAGACTATTGTGGGAACGTTTGGTTGTAGACAGAGGGTACGCGAAAGTAATAACGACGACAGTTTATTAACCTCTTCAGGGACGATTTTGTTGCCCCGATGACATATGGCTTGGCGGTTGGAGCGAGACAGAGCGATGGAGTTCATTGCTCCGCGGTGATATTTGATTTTGTTGCCCCGATGACGTATGGCTTGGCGGTTGGAGCGAGACAGAGCGATGGAGTTCATTGCTCCACGGTGATATTTACCGGCGTCTAGCCCGGACCAAAACATTCGACTCCGTGTGTGAGTGAATGCGTGTGCTCGGGGATTAGACTGATTTTTGCCTGAGTCGTTAGGCTCCCCTCGGTCAGCCATATTTCACACGTACATTTTATTTGCATAAGAGCTGCACCACTCGCCCACCCCTGCTCTATAATTGTCGCTGTGCGATATTTTCACTCTCAATGCCTCGCCCGCGTCTCATTCACCCTGTTTCATTCTCTCGTTCGCTCGTTCTCTATTTCCTTCACTCTTCGAAGACATTCTCAAAACTCGTTCACCGAACTTTTCTTATCTCACGGTGAAGATCCGGAGTCACGGGGTTGCATACGACAGTTCCGAACGCTTATCATTCACACTATCGCTCGAACCCAAATATCCTTCGTCCACACATCCATCGTTTCTAACCAAACATTCACGCGAGATATACCCAGTCCACACGCTCGTTGCAACGAGTGACAAGCGAGCGATGTAAAGAACGATCGTTCGCCCTCGTAGT